AATTTCACAAGATTAAACAATTTCATGAAAAAATTTCATAAGATTAAATAATGAAATCGACAGATGAAGGTGGTTTGCACGGTTTACACAAATGAGGACGGTTTTCATATGATCACTCCTCTATATATATATATATTATATATTATACTTCAAAAAAAGACACTTACATGTACTCTATCATTTTCTCAAAAGCTTCCATGCTAAGATCATGTTCCTCGAGAAGAGGAAGAGTGTAATCTGGTAAACCGTCCTTTCCTTCAAGGAAATCCTCCATTCGGGATAGTCTTGTTTTGAAGTACTCAGATCTTGAAGCCAAGATAACTTGATGGCAACGGAAAATCTTATCATCAACTTTTATACTAACATCTGCAAGATCATCCTCAAATTCACTTATCTTTACCGACGCTACCCGTGACACAAGATCATCAAGATTCCGCTCTTTGGTAGAATTACCAAGAGAAATTTGAAGAAGACGTGATAAGGCAGCAGGGAGACGCTCATCTTCAGGTAGAGAAGAGCCCTGTAAGATAAATCGTCTTTGGGAATTGTCTATATCTTGCAGTGCTTTGTAATCTGCGTATTTTTGATGGCTCACTTCTTTCTCTATGACCTTCTGTAATGATTCACACTTACAAACTTTGCATATTCTCACAAGATCTTCCATGTCATCCACAGCAATCTCGAGTCTATCGGAGTAAAAGAAGTGAATAAGGCTGTAAAATGCAGGATAAGACAACTTTTCCTTCGAGAATCTTATTTCCTTGCGACCCCTCCAATCAGTCTGGAATTTTTTCTTGAGGTAAGGTGACCGAGCACTTAATATGACTCTGTGAGCTTCGATAGGTCTTCCATGCAGATAAAATACGAAATCCGGAGGGAAATAGCTAGGACTGGATCCTGCATTAGACAAATTACTTACTCAACAGCCCACTTTCATTTCAGAAAGAGATTTGCTTCTTACATGAAACACAATGCAAATCCAGTAAAACCTTCCAACTATATCCAACAGGGTTTTTTGGTAACCGTCGATATCCAGGCCAGCTTGCACGCACCTTGACTAATCCCATAGGGCCCTGCCAAGAAATTCCCCAATGGCCATGAGGAGATTCGATCTGGCGAGCTAGAGGGAGGAACCCCAAAGATTGGCCTATATTTGCCAGTTGAGCTGGCCCTCAACGTTCATATCTAACACTTATATGTGTTCTAACTCGGGTTTTGGGCACAACTTAATAGAACATCTATGTCTGCCATGCAGCTTTGGTTGTAGTGCCTATGCAGAAGAAACTACTAACAAATCATATTCGACTCCAGAAATAAAACAAGTCTGAACAACTATAATAAGGGCCTGTTTGTTAGCAGCTTAATGAGCTTAGTGAGACTGATAGCTTATTCGATCAGCTATAAATGAGCTTAGTGAGACTCATAGCTTATTCGATCAGCTATACATGACTGTTTGGTAACTGCTTAATAATATAGAAAGTGGCTTATTCAATAAGCTTTATGGGGGAGCTTCATGCAGAAAGCCAAAGTTTTCTCAAACATGTCTCTCCCAAATAAAAAACACGTGCGTTCCATCTATGAAAAAAACCATCCCAAAGAAAAATCTTCTCAATCTATACAGACAGATTAGCCACGCATACAACTTTATCCATACAACACTTGGGAGAACCAACCAATTGTGCCCTTTTTCCAGCTAGAATCCCATGAATCTTTATATATCTAATCCAGCTTCTAAAATCAAACAAATCCCTGAACCAAATAATGGCAATTAAAGAAGAAAATTACCAGGGGTTTAAATCATCAACATCAAGAACCCTCTAAGAAATATGAACCCTAATCAAAGTACTCAAGGGTCATTGATACATCAATTTGATCAACAATAACCCCTCATCACAAATTCACAATTATGAAGATCACATTTTCTTTAAACAATCCATCTAAACAGGAGTAGCAAATGAATTAAGATCAAAAACAGGCATAAATGGTTTCTACAAACCTGTAAACTGAAATTGGCCATCAAACTGCTCTACATATCCTCTATTTGCCATAGACCCCAGAAATGTTTCTCTCAAAGCCCCCTGCAATGGCCCCAACGGCGGTGGCCGAGCTTCAAACGCCTTCAACAGCTTCCTGACCTTCAAATTCAACGCTGCGTAATGACATCGATCACCATCAAAGGTGTGTTCGGAGCAAATCGCCCCGTTCTCTAGCAACATCCTGGCGGCATCGAGATGGCCTGCTAAACAAGCGTAGTACAGAGCCACCGAGTCCCACTGGTCACGAGCGTTGACATTAACACCGGATTCCAACAGGTACCGCAGCCGGCCGACGTCGCCGGCGCGTGAGGCTTCGAAAACGTCGCCGTATGGGACTCTTTTCAGTGGAATTGATGACAAAAAGTCTTCAGGGTCGAGGTCAATGTCGTCCAAATCGGACATACTGATTGTGATTCTGAGTTTGAAAATAGTAGTAGGGTTTGAATATGGTGATAAAGATGAAATTGTTGATTCATTGTGTAGTCAAGGGTGTTATTGAGTTGGGTTTGTGATGAATTGAAAATGGGAATTGAAGAAATAGCATTTCCTCTGTAATTTGGGATATAATTAGGGTTTATCAGATTGATAGGGGGAGAGAAGATGATTCAGCTATTCATGAACAGAATCTCTGAATGGATAATCTTGTCCGAATTTCTTTGAGCTGAAAATATAATTGGATTTATAAAGATGAGAATTTTTAGTATCAATTTGTTTCTTGTTTTGAAAAATATGAAATTTCATGGACATAGATTTTGCTGCCAGTTATCAAAATACCCATGTAGTTGTTAAAAAAATGTTAGATTCCTTTATTCGTAGAATTTGTAGAATTTTGAAGATTCTTTAATAGAAAAGAATAAACCAAACGAGGGAATGAAATTTGATCAATGGAATTCAACATTCCAATTACATCAGATTTCTTCAGAATCTGCGAACTCACTCTACCAACGGAAACTCATGTTCTCATTGTAGTTTCAAAATATATACGGTTACATATAATAACCTGATACGGTGACACCTTCACGATCCTAAGAGAATTTACACTACGACAGGGGGAAGAAACGATGATCCGTGCAACTGTATCCACTAGCCTAGGTCCGCCCCTACTTCCAAGTAGGATATATTACGTTCGTTTGATTTGGTTTTGACCATCCGGACCGAATCATAAAACATCATTTTATTGCATTTCTTCTGGGAAAGATGGATAACACAGATAAACACGTAAAAAATGCCACCAATGCATCCTAAAAAACCCGCACACCCTCCTCATCTTTGATGAGGTTTGAACCTCTGACCTTCTAAAAGACGAAAGACTCTGATATTGCTGTGTCAGAAGCCCTTCGTCTATAACAGAGTGGTCTCGGTAAGCACTGACCAAGTAAAAGAGCATTTCTTTCCTTATCAAGATGGTCATTTGTCGGTCAGAGTGTATCATAAACAACCTCACCTCTTACCAGATAATAAGAAGAGGCAGTCAACAATTAGTAAACAACCCTTAAATCCGATACAAAAGCTACAAGATCTAAAAAAAAAGTTCTCTCATAAACATAAATACAAGTCGAAAACGGGCATGCTAGACACGACGTCCTTTAGCATTTGTTCGATATGATGTTCAACTATAGTACACTTTTGTAACTTACATCACGTAAGTCCGCTATCCACGTTCGTATTACTAGAATTTAGCCGTCTCAACCTCTGATCAAGTTCTGCCATTACGGCCGGTTCTTGCTTTTTCCTTTCTTTTGATATATTTGTGCTCGTCATAAACCCGATTTTATCAAAGGCAACCTGCACGCACAGGTAACAAAATATTACGTTATTTCATGCTGCAAAGCTCGAGTTCTTGCAGAAAACCATAATCGTGTTAGTTTTAGAAAGACAACTGGTTACTAGCATGCACTACGACAAAATAGGTCTTATTGGATGCGAACTATGTCTAAATGTGTTTGGGATTTGAAACAACTTATGATTTTCTACAAAAGCACTTATCAACTTATTATAAGTCAGAAGGGTTTAACTTCTTCAAAAACTCCTTATTACCGGTTTAGCACCGGTATAAGTTGTTTATCCAAACACTCAAAAGTGTTTATTACTGGTGTCCTCTTCCGATTTTGTTGTAGTGATGACATCAGGAGCAAACGAAATTATCTTCACCACTCTAAAACAGCATAATTCATATTAGATGAAAACGAATACGCTGCAAAGTTTTCTTCCATTTTAATCATTTACATATTAACCTGCTGGACGGGCGGGAGAAAACACGAGAAAAAGAGAGAGAAAAAGCATATAAAGAGAGTAGACTTACCGTCAATAGGTCATCGGGATCGAATAGATGATGACTGGTATTTTGTACTACATTGATTACGTCCCCAACATATTGCGTCATAAGCAACTCTTCTTCCTTCATCTGCAATAACGATATAACCACAAAACTTAGATCTTTCACGATGGGAAAGAGGGAGTAGATAAACCAAATCAGACCAAACGAGCCCGGTATATCCCACCTGGAGGTGGGGTCTGGGAGGTAAGATGTACGCAGACCTGACCTCTATCTCAAAGGGTAGAGCGGTTGTTTCAGCAAAGACCCCCGGCTTGTGACAAGTGTGTGTAAAAATTTGTAAGTAAATACATAGTTAAGCATATCACCTTGAATATAGCTAGCGCCACATTAAATAGAACTTTTGCTCCTTCATAAAAGAGAACATCCCAAACTCGCAAGGTCGTCTGGTAGGTTTTGTAGGTAGAGAACTATTAGATATCTAGATGCATATATAGGGCGGGTTCAAATGGGAATGACAAAAATGTTGAGAATGACGGAAACCGCCTTTATAATCACATCCCTTTGGTCGTCTCATCTGACGGTTGAGATCGATTCCCATCTTCTCAACCATTTTGTCATTCTCATTTGAACCTCCGTGTGCATAACTGCACATATATACATACATATATATATGTATATATACACATACATATATGTACATATGCATGGAGAGGGGGTGGGGAGTTAATCTTGACCTCTGAAGGCAGGCTCTTTGAAAAGAGGCAAAGAAACCACTCGGTGGCAACAAGGGAGACATCAAACTCGAGAGTTTCTAAATGAGCATATACACTGCATTTCAGAATCTTGAAAGATTAAACGCTACCGACTTCAAAAAACGTTCAAGAATCAACAACGTGACTGAATGCAAGAAAATATATATAATTACCTTGGACATTTCTTTTTGAGCAAATCTTTAAACACCCTTTGTTCGACATGGCAGCCTGATAAGTTATTCGAATAGCAATCATTGACTAATACGTTTTCCAAAAGAACCGCTAACATCCAGAAAGCGTCTTCTTCTGTTTTCATCACGAGTAACAATAATGCTGCAACGTAATTCAAACCCTGCATCAAATACATCCATCTTGGTCATCACGGACAAAGAGAAAAGTTATCAAAGAAAACCGGAGAAGGCCAAAAAAATAGTATTTCTAGCCAAGAATCACTAAAATAGCCATTTTCAGAGGGTTCCCATCACAAAATAACCACCTTTGTCGGGCTTTGCACAAAATAGTCATGGAGATCGCTAAACGGGTTTTGCGAACTCACTTTATTTTGCCATTTTCCCTTTTTCAACTTTTCCATACGAATCTTGACTATTTTTTTTCACATAGTAGTTTGTGAGATACCCATTTTCTGCAAACCAATAAAACAAAACACAACCTCGCGAAAAAGTTGCCCATTTTGCACTCATAATTATCCGCCACCCCCTCCCCCGCTTCCTATATATCCCATTTCTACCATCTTATCGACTCAAATATTTCTGAAATTGTATTGTCTCAAATATTTGAAGGCATAAAAGTCTACTTAGAAATATGGGAGGTTTTTGAAGTTGCTCGTTGATTTATGTTAGTTTTAGGAGAGGGAATCCATTGATACGTACCTGACAGTAACCAACATCAGAATCACGGAAAGAGTAACCTACAAGAACGCGTCTCAATGAAGCATGACCTTCGGGAGTGTCCAACCATGGATGACCAGGGAAAGTCCGTGGCAGGTCCTGCATGTATGCGTACGTATGGTATTAAGGTATAAACCGAACATTTGTACTTCAATAAGAAAACATACAATGATCAGTACACTGAACCTTAAACAAAACAAGTTGAAGCTTCTAAATGCTAAAAAAACCACTTACGTCTTACCTTAGACTAAGGGCCGTTTACCAAATGCTTACTAGGTAAGTGCTTAATGGCAAGAGTCATCACACTCACTTAACTTGTTGGGTAACATTCTCGGCCATCAAAATAGATTGCACGTGTCTCTTACCCGGTAAGCGCTAAACCGGGTAAGGACATGTTAGTTAGCAGCTTAATGAGCTTAATGGAACTCGCAGTTTATTCGGTCAACTATACATGACTCTTTGGTAGTGGCTTAATGATGCACTAAGTGGCTTATTCAGTAAGCTTCTAGTGGGGAGCTTTATGCAGATAGCCAAGTGTTTCCTAAACCGCCCTCCCAATTAAAAAACACGCTCCCTCCATCTATGAAAACCCTCCCAAACAAAAATCTTCCCAATCTATATAGACAGATTAATCCAGACAGACGGCTTTACCCATACACGACTTAATGGAAAACTAACCAAACAGCCCCGAAGAGTCTTCTCCTTCACTTACCGGGTAAGATTCTAGGTTCATACCATGCTCATGCGGTAAGGTAAGTGACCCGGTAAGCACTTACCCGGTAAATATTTGGTAAACGGTCCCTTATAAGGGTTTTTTTGTGATAAGAGCTTCAAAACTTCTTACCGTGCTCTTATTAGCCTCTTATTGTCCTCTTATTTCCCTAAAAAAAATGGAACGCTAAAAAACAAGAGGCGGATAACAAACTCCAGCTTTACGACTTGTACCATGACAATGGAACATTTGAGGGTTCAAAACATCTAAGATCAAGATGTACAAGTCTCAAAAGCTCAAAACTTATTACTCTTAGAATAATGCCTACCCTTTTTATTTTGATTTTTTTATCATTAAAATATTATTTTTGATAAGTTCAAACTAGCAATTATGTTTTTTTTTTCATTTTTTGGTAATAGTTTCTTAATTCATTAACTTTGATTTTGCTTATACGTTCAGACATTTATTGTTTATAAAAACAAGTAGTCTTGTTGATTCTACTTTTAGACTTGGACACCACCTCTTATCAATAAGAAATGAAAAAATTAGATTTCAGACTTTGGCACCTTTTTAAAAGACAAATAGCACCTTATGTAAATAATACATGAAAAGCCTCTAGTAACCTAAGTGCCTCCTCTGCTTGAAAGACCTCAGTTTAAGGAGTGTTTGACTGTCTGTCAAATTTCTAAAGTACCATCCAAGAAAGATGATATGGAAAAATCTTTTTTTGAGTTAATTATTGGTTAATATTATAATAATCTTAATATTAGTTATAAGTTTAATGTGTTTTTTTTGTTTAGGGAGATGATACATTTGTTGAGGAAACCCCATATGTTAACCCCGACAATGATCCGGATGTTGAAGCAAGTGGCAAAAGAAAACGAGCAAACAAAGCTCCTAAATGAGGGAAGGAAAGGGTCGCGTATTGGAAATACTTTGATGGTGTGTTTATTGAAGAGGAAAGAGTAAAACGGAAACATGGAAAGTGCAAGTTTTGCGACACGGTACTTAAAGTCGATCCAGTACGAAACGGTACTTCTAACCTTAAAAAGCATTATCCTATTTGTGATGAGAATCCCAAGTTTTCCATGAAAAAACAAAGCCACTTGTTGTTTAAAAAGGAAGCTAGTGGGGAAGGTAGTGTGCAAACTTGGAAGCATGATGAGGGTAGAATAAGAAAAGCTTTATTAAATTTGTTTGTTGTTGGTAAATTGCCTTTTAAATTTGTGGAAAATGAGGCATTTGTTGAATACACTAGTGCTTTAAATGGAAGGTTTATTTTGCCATCACATCACAAAGTCTCTAAGGATGTTGGAAAGCATTATCTAGAGGAAAGGAATAACTGAATAAGTTATTGGCTTCGTTAAGTAAACCAACAAACACCGCTTCACTTGACTACAGATATTTGGACATCATCGTGTCAAAGGGTGAATTACATGGTTGCTATGGCTCATTTTCATAGATGACGATTGGGTGATGCATAAACGAATTATTAACTTTAGACCCATTGATAGTCATGGGGGGATGATGTGGGTCGTGAATTGTTAGATTGCATACATGGTTGGGGGATAAAAAATGTTATGGCTATGATGGTTCATAATGCATCTAGTAATGATAAAGTGCTAGAGTATTTGGTGAAAAAGTTGCCTAATATGTATGATGGTGGGAAACATTTTCAAGTTGGGTGCATGGCGCATATTCTAAACCTGATTGTGAAAGATGGTTTAAAGAAGAATAATTATCATATGAGTGTGTGCAAAAGGCAGTTAGGTATATTACACATTCAACACAAAGAATAGCCATATTTAAAAAGTGCATGAAAGATTGTAACCTTGAATCAAAAAGATTTTTGTGTGGTGATTGCCCTACTAGGTGGAATTCCACCTTTGAGATGTTAAAGATTGTCGTGGAATTAAGGGAGGTATTTTTCATGAATGGAGTTGAAGATGCTAGTTCTTTTCGTGATCTTGATAGAGCGCCCGAGCATTCAGATTTTGTATGTGCAAACAAGTGGTCGACTTTCCAGAGAAATTCAATATTAAAACGGAAATTGTATCGGCCACTTCAAAGCCCTTAGCTCATATTTTTTTAGAGAAATTCTAGATATAGACAAACATCTACGTGTGTGGAAAGAGACGGTCGATTTTGTTTAATGGCTCGGGCGATGCGAGAAAAGTACAATAAGTATTGAGGGAAGTTTGACGAAGTTAATGACTTTATGAATTATACCGTTATGTTGAATCCTACAATGAACTCATCTTTTATTGGACATAAGTTTTGAGAGATGATTATGTATAACATAACGAAGGAAAATCCTATGTCAAAAGAAGTGCTTGAGATGAAGGTGGCGATTATGGTGCAAGAGGTTGAGAAAAGATTTGATGTTTTGTTTAAAACATACAAAGAAAGGTTTGACACGGTTGACTTTAAATCGGCATCTCAAGAAGCATGTAATGAAGAAAATTTGATATCATGTGATGGGGGGTAATGACTTTTCGGGAGAATTTCTACAAGCGGAAGAAAGTAACTCGGTTGCAACTGAAACCGAGTTAAAGAGATACCTAAATGAGCCAAAAATTTCATATACTACCGGGTTTGACATACTTAGGTGGTGGAAACAAAATGCTATTTGGTTTTGGTTGTTGAACTTTAGTTGAACTTTTGGGATTGGTCTTTGATACAGTGAACATTTGCGATTGTTGACTTTTGATTCTTGACTTTTGCGATTTGGTTTTTGATTGTTTTATTTATTAACTTCAAATTTTCGGTCCTAAGTGGTACTAACACCGAATTTCCCATCCCGATACCGACCGGTACATTCGGCTTAGTATTCGGTCCTCACTTTTTGTCCAAAAAGATTTCGCTACCGGCCAGTTCGGTAACAATCTCATCCCTACTAGAAATGACAAAACCTCCATCAATATCAGCACAAAACAATCGTTAGTATGGACACCCAAACATAACATTAAGCCCAAAGGTAAAACCACCTATAGCATAAACATACACACAAAAGATCAAACAATCTTTAAGGCATTCAAGCTTCAAATAATTAGAAAGATTACCAAAAAAACATTGGGATAACATCAAAAAGACCCCTTATCTGCAAAAAATATTGATATAACATGAATAAAGAACCATAGAATAGAACTCACATGATCGATTTGCTTCGTGGCAGGGGTGACTTTACCTTCAACAGCTATTATCAGATCATTATAATAGCTATCAGGCACAGTGGACTTCTTCTTAGCAGCCCCAGATAAAGAAAACCAAACTTTAGGTCTCAAAACTGGAGGTATCCCCTTCCTAATTAGCTTCTTGAGGGTAATGGCATTCACTAAATTTGAAAACTTTAAGGATGATTTAAGGGCAGAAGATACATGAGTTTGCAAATACCAATTTGCCCCTTTGCTAGCTTCTAATGCCCACCAAGCCCTACCTTGTTGCCTCACTTTCTCCCTCACCTCATTCAATATATTTGCATCATCAACATTGCCTTCCACAGTAAACCCATAAAGATCTTGAAATTTTACAGTAATTTTTGCCCTTCTGGCATGGATGCTTGGTCTTGAAATGGGTAATTCAAGTGACAAATCCCTCTGGCTTTGAGTTCCATACATTTCTTATGACAAAAAGGAATCAAAAAATTGACAATCTAGAAGAATCAAGAAACTTGTGGGTTCTATCAAGAAAGCAACATAACTCGATATTTATATGGAAAAGATGATTGAGAAAAGCTCGCATCACTTAGATGATCCAAAAGATCAAAAACCTTTATAGCCTATCTCCAAATGGGTCTTCAAAAGACCAAAAACTACTGAAATTTTCAGAATAGAAACACAAAAAAAGGGGGAAGAACAGTAAGATTGGATTAAATTAAGACAAAATATATATGCAAAAAAGACGTAACGAAGGTGAAAACTACAGAAGACGAAAGAACAGATCAAACAGATAATCTTGAAATCAAAATTTGACGATTGACGGAGGGAGGAATTGGGAAAACCCCAATCAAATTAGGGTATAAAGCGTCTGAATGTGACGAATACAATTAGGGAAGAACTGACTGAGTAGAAGTGACATGAAGAATTCTTTAAAGAGGTAGGTTTTAGCCGTTTAGGTTGATAATTTCAGATGAAGAGCAGTAACGGTGGATTGGTAATGAAATGGGTGAGGACGTGTGGTATAGGTGCAGTGAATTGGTCATTTGGTATGAAGGGTGGTGGTGGTGGTGGTGTTTAAATTCTACAACGTTTTTTTAAAAGGAAAAATATTTAAATTGCAACGTTTAAAAAAATATTTAAATTGCAAGAAATTACTGTTTTTATGAAAAATTAATACTTTCTAAAAATAGAAAAAATTCAAACTTTTTGTGGGACATGAAAATTCAAAAATATCTTTAATTTAATGATACTATAAGGATATTCGTATAATATAACGAAATACATCTCGATGTTAATGTTTTATTTTTTTTATTAACCTGGATATTCAACCCGCTATGCGAGTTGACTAATCTCAGGGAGATCACCTGCTTTGCAGATAGCTCGTAGTCATCGCATTTGAACCTCCGTGGCCACAAGTGAATCTTTATTCTTCCTCGGATTTGAACATGGGACCTCCTAGTACTTTTGACATTTTGAGTCAAACTCAAACCAATCAGACACCACCCTTGTGGTTAATGTATTATTTTATTCTGTCTTTATCGATGCTATATTACGATTTTATATGTTTTTGATAAAACAATAATTTTTTTATTTTCGAATAAAATATAAATGTAAAGATATCATAAAAAATTTAAAGAAAATATTTTGATATTAGTATCAAATTAATTATTTAAAAGTTCTCATTTCTTTGATAACTTTTTTAATTTAATTTTTTATTATAACTTAATTTAAGTCTAATAACAAATTAACTTATCTTTTGTTTAATAATATAATTTTTTTTTTATAAATAGTGATCAAATATTATGTTAGAATTCAATGATTATTTTAATTATATGTTAGACTTTTCATATTTAAAATGAGATGTTTATCCAGTATTTAATTATGTTTATTTGCAGTTGGTTACACAAATTCAAACATGAAGTTTTAATAAGTTGTACTTACGCACAATCTACTTATAGTCTTGAATTTTAAATAATATGCATCAATAAACGATACTTTATGCATAAAAAATAATTTTTAAAAGTTTGTATCAAATGATTTATAATATGGTATAGATAAAAAAATTGAACGTCAACATTATAAATTTTAGCATTTGATACGCATGTCAAATTTCATCTTTTTTACAAACCCAACTCTGAAAGTTGATTAATTTTGTGTAGTTTTCTACAGGTTATAATTTTATAGCATAAGTAGATATGAATAGAAAAGGTCCGATCTAAACGTCGGTTAGGACCTGGTCTAATCCTGACTTTTTAAAATTTGGATAAGCCTGAGAAAAGAAAATCTCGGTCTATAAAACGTAATTAAGCTCGGACAAACAATAATGAAGGAAAAAAAAGCCCCAATGAGATCGTGAGGTATGGCATTGACGGCAATTTTGACCTATATGTGATTGGTATATAGACATGATTGGACAGACAATAATGATGTAATATTACAAGAATTGTAAAACGTTTTTGGTGTTATAATTTGTCGCAGGTAATTTAATAATTCATCTATTTTGGCGGGAAAAAAATGCATTTTTGCTTCGGACAGTATCTCAATTAAATGTCACAACAAACATGGAACAACAAGTTTTCATGAAAAAATGCACATGAAAGACGTAGATAACATCCACTTGTTTAGGTTTTTTTTATACCAAATCATATGGACTCTTGTGGTCCATGTCTAATGATCATGGTCGAGCTTTGACTTTGTTTGTATTAAACATCTTCAGCAGATTCTGTATAATTTATCTGTAATAAAAAACCAAAAGTTATAACATAGTATTTTACAATTTATTTATACAGTTACTTCGCTATGATATTAATGTTTTTTGAGATTTCTTAAAATTTGAAGAATTTCACACTCTGTCTAATAATACTTTCTCCATTTTATGGAAAAAGTTTTGAATAGTCTATTAGAGCAAAAAAAATTAACAATATATTTTGTAAATCGTGTGGTGTGTCATAAATGGACAGGTGATGAATTTCTCTTCCAGAGGAGGTGTCGGGAGGGGATTCAATTCTCATCTATTGCAGGGACATGGACGTCAAAACATACCCCATCCCGACACATACATTGTACCATTCTCAAACCATACTTTCGTACGAGGTTTATGAATTCGTTTGATCTGGTTTAGTTTATATGTCTGTTGGTTTCAACATCTCCCGCAACAATTTGCATGACTTAGGGGCCGTTTACTAAACGCTTACCCGGGTAAGCGCTTGCCAAGTAACATTACCTCACCGGATAAATATGGTAAGAACCAAGAATCTTACCCGGTAAGAGCGAGACGAGGACCAAAAGTCTTACCCGGTAAGTGAGAGCGACGACTCTTACCACGATAAGCGCTTACCGGGTAAATTGTTGCATACGATGTCGTTTTGGTGGACTAAAAATCTTTCTAGTAAGTAAATAATAGTGTTAATTTTATCGACAAGCACTTACCAGGTAAATATTTGGTAAACGGCCCCTTAGAAATTGGACATTGTAACATATTGTTTAGGCCAACTTGCAACATGTTTCGGTTTAATTTCTATTTACTGTAACGACGTTTTTTTTCTCTTCCTTAATCGATATAACAACGTTTCAAATTTACTATTTTGTATTCATTTTGACTGATAACTTGTTAATTAAGTATCATTTGATGATGGGGATATCCGTTTACAAAATGTGTACAGAAGGTTACACTGAAACGAATGATAAACTTGATATTCATGTCATCAAATGTTATAATATTAATAATTAGTCAAAAAAAAAAAAATAGAAAACATTGGAACACTGTTACATACTTACATTAAATACAATTTTTTGACGCATTTGTTACATTTATTAAGAAAAAAAATATTATCTATATTATACCATAAAGCATTTGACAATCTTAAAAATCATTTTTTATGCATAAAGTACTGTTTATTTATGCATGTTACTTAAAATTCAAGATTGTAAGTAAATTGTGCGTAAACACAACTTATTAAAGCATCATATTTGAATTCATGTAACTAACTACATATAAACATAATCAAATAGAAGATAATCATCTCATTTTAAATATAAAAAGTAAAAAATATAATTAAGATAATTAAATAGTTTTAACAAAATATTTAATTATTATCGTTACAAAAATTATATTATTAAACCAAAAGTAAAAAAATGAATTAAAAAGATACACAAAAAAATGAGAAATTTTAAATAGTTAGTTTGATACTAATATCAAAAAAAAAAATTGTCAATTTTTTATGATATATTTTGACATTATCGTTTTCTCAAAATTACATAAAAATGTATTATAATATAAACTTAGACATGAAAAAAATAAAACATTAAAATCAAGACATATATTGCTGCATTTTGCAAGTATCTTTCTAATTTGTTATAATAAAAACCAATCAAGACAAATTACTCATTAAATTTAAAACACTTATGGGCTTGTTCCTTATATTATGTCAAAAAAAAAACATATTTCGTCCTTAAATTTTATTTATTATATGATAAGCTTCATATGCAATTTGTCTTGGATTTAGGACATGTTTGTTAGCAATTTAATAAAACTTAAGGATTGTTTACTTTTCAATGGTTTATTTAAGAGGCAATATTTGAATCATTAAGAGATGAATCTTGTTTGAAAAAAAAAATATGTCTCTTAATGGTTTTAAAACCCTCTGAATGATTTTGTATCCTAGACCTCCTTTAACCATTCAGCGTCATAATTTCATTGTAAACAATCACTAAACAATTATATTTCATTTTGAACGAGAGTCTCTTAATTAGTATGTACCAAATAATTTAGTAATTGTCAAACAACCACTTATAACTTATCCGGTCAGTTATACATAATTATTTGGTAGTTGCTTAATTATATGAAAAGTTACTTAATACAGTAAGTTTTTAAGATGAGCTTCACGCAAAAAGCTATTTTTTTTTCAAACATACCATTTGCAATTAAAAAATACATTCATTCCGTATATAAAAAAACTCTATTAAACAAAAGCCTTTTTCAATCTATATAAACAGTTTTGTTCATATAGGATTTAACGAAAATTAATCAAATAGCAGGTTAGTGATGGCCAAACCGGCCCGGCCCGGGACCCGTAACGACCAGTTATAGGACCGAAATCTGGGAACGGTTATGGATTTGAGGTGTTTCGCGGGACCGGGTCCGGTTATGGCATGGCCCGGCCCGGCCCGATTTTTTAAAAATGTAACTATTTTTTTAAATGTAGTTGTTTTTTGGCCATTTATTGTATTTTTTGCTTTCTAAACACTATATATAAGTGTCTTGGTTGATAGATTTACATACCAAGTTCTCGATTAGCAAAAAACGCAAAAAAACGTTCACCATTATCAGGTTCTCGTTATATTTCGTAAGACAATGTAATTTTAATTATAATAAAATGCATTTTTAAAGTGTATTTGAGTGACCCAATTACAAATTTTATAATATATTAAAAATATATATTATTAAAAAATATTTTTTTTAATAACCGGTTACAATAAAGCTTGACCGGGCTCAACTTTTTCGAGCGGGATCAGGATTGAGACCGGTTACATCGAGACCGATTATTCCCGGTTATGAGAAATCTTGAGACCGACTACATCGAGACCGATTATTCCCGGTTATGAGAAATCTTGAGACCGACTGGGACCGGCCCGAAACCAGTTTTTGGCTATCACCACAAGAGGTTGATCCATGTTCCAAACAATAGTCTATTTTATTGGTTAATTGCGAGAGCAAAATTTACCAATTTCATTATATAATACCAATTCAGGGGTTGTTTGTTTACCTCTTAATAGTTCCATTAAGAGGCAACATCTGAATCGTTAAGAGGTGAATTTTGTTTGGCAAAAAAAAGTACGCCTCTTAATGGTTCTAAAACCCTCTGAATGATTTTGTATCTTAGATCTCCCTTAACCATTAACAGCCCTAAGTTCATTATATACAATTACCAAACAATTATATTTCATTTTGCACTTTATCATAAGAGTCTCTTAATCATTCTGACCACTTAATATCTGCACCAAACCATTCAGCAATTGCCAAACAGCTGCTACTTGCAATACCATACCACCATACCATACCACTAAAATCAGGGGTATTAAGTGTAATTCACTAATACTTGGGCTATATATACAACCTGGTTCAGGATGAAATGCCTGGCAAAGCGAAAACCAAAGCTCTTTCATCGGCCATAAAAACACCGTCTGAACACAATAAGTCGGCGACAGGCGTCAGGATCAACCCTCCGGCACCGGTTAGGAGGAGGTAAACATTCTTCATGTTTGACTCTGAGCGAAGCTTTGATGCTGTATGTTTGCTGTTTGATAAACAAGTTCTTAGTAAAACCCTAGATGTCCTGTGAGATATTTAGCAAGAATAGGGAGTGCGTTTCTTATAGTAAGTATTAGTTTCTTTTCTTAAATCTTTTTAATTTTAGGGTTCTTCAACTGATTCAATTTCGTTAGGTTTTTGTTGCTTTGATGCTTCCATTATTCAAGTGAGAAGTCTCATAAATCTGGTGCGAATAAATTGTGTGCCGGAGGTCATAAATCTGGTTTGTTTCATGATTTGTTCAAGTGCTTTTGATGCTTCGTTGGGTTTTCACTATAAGCTCATTGATTTAGTCAGTTTGTTCTTCTTCCTTTCAGGTAAGCTTGTCACTATTTTATAAACAGGTTTTGTAAACTGCCTTTGAATGGAAATCTAGAATCTTCGGGTTTTTACCTTTGTTTTTTCTGTAAGGGTGTCCGGGCCAAAGCCCGACTAATCCCCGGCAAATTTGGAGGCTAAACATGGCCCCACTTAAATGTCGCCAACACTCCCCTCCCAAGGCTCGAACTCGGGTTCATGACTATGCCATGCCCAAGCCTTTACCACTAGGCCGGAAGGTCTTTGAGTTAATGTATTTCCTACATACCAAAAAAGTTGCTGACATAGGCTGGAATCCCCTTCCCGGAGACAAAAGTAACACTTCTGGGGATTCTATGTTATGATTAGACTGGCATAAAATTATAAGTGGAAATCAGGTTCATAAATTTGGTTTTAAATAAAAAGCCTTTATTTGCCCAGGAGATTGTATAATCCCTCCTCCTTCCCTTCTCTGTGCAAAAGCAGGTCATGTCAATATGTCACTCAATTGATAGTTTTAAACGGAAAGCATGTAAGGTAATGCTTCTTGCGGGCTATAAAACATCTCATTGGAAAAATTGGTTTGACAGAATGGCTTGTAGTTCCTTGGCGTCAGTACGTCTGTTAAGGATGTCCTGTTTTCTTTTTTCTTTTCTGCTTCACGTTCAAACCATGGTAGCAATTGTTATATGTCACAACTCACAAGTACCCTAGCTAAGTGCCTAAGCTGTGGAATAACATCTGCCTTCCTAGATGACGATTCCTCTAATGTTGCAGAGTTCCCTAGAGTCGAAAGTACACTACTGATGAAACAGTATTAAAGAGACCAAAATGAGCATTGTACCAAAGGAGACAGTGGAGGTCATATCACAGAGCATCGGCATAAGTAATTTGTCTTCAGATGCTGCGTTGGCTCTTGCTCCTGATGTAGAATATCGTATGCGGGAAATAATGCAGGTAATTATTGTTTATGCATTTTACATTTTATACAATAACCAGTGTGGCTATTGAGTCTTTTGTAAAACTAGATATAATAATTGTTAAAATAAAAGAAGTATCGTTTCTTAAATTAAGGCCATCAAAGCCATCATTGATGCTTCAAACCACCACCAGTTTCCTCACTACCCCTGCACATGCTTTACTGTTTTGGAACTTGCTTCCTCAAAGAATAAATTAAAAGGTAAACATCGATGATCATTCAATCGATCAAAAACAAAAAGCCTTTGTGTCGAATGCTTTGATCTAGTTGTTGTCTACATCTGGAATTTGGTTTTGTCAATGCTTGAACAAAAAAGCTTAAAACACATTATGTATCTAAAGCATGCTTTTATAATGATAGAGCTCCATGTCATTTCATATCATATGCTGCAGTATTGTATTCCTTGTGAGTCGAAATTTTATTTGCTATAATCACGTAGGTTACTGACTTAAAGATTGCATGATTAGAACTTCTGTTGTAGTGCTAGTGGTGGTAATGAAAAAATGCGTCTTGGTGGTCATAAGAGATATCTTATTGGGTGTTCTCCTTGTTAAAACTGCAGGAGGCGATCAAATGCATGCACCACTCAAAAAGGACTACATTGACCACAGATGATGTAGATAGCGCACTTAGCATGAGAAATGTTGAGGTGGATCACCAGTTGTCTATCTGCTTACATCATATGATATTAACATAGAGTTTTTGAAGGTTAACCGTGAATTTTAATTTTGAGACTAAAAGATATTAGAGAAATAATGTGGAAATACAAGAAATCGGGTTGTTAACTTTTTCTCATTGGAAAATGGGAGCATTTGAATATTATTAGCTCAAGAATTTAGTCAATGTGATGAATTTATTGTTGGATTCTTCTAGATTTTGTTGGGCTGGACATAAGCATTTTAAAATGAACTCTAAGCTTATTGATGACCACATATACATATATACTGCTAGTTAGGTGTTCCATGGCGCAACTTGCATGAGCTTCTTTCGTGCCCTTCTGTTGACAACTTGACATAATACTACACAGGCAGAGGGTTTGAGGTTTAGGTCATGACTCTGTCTTGTTATAGAGTAAGCTAGCTTGTCTGCCTTTTTGTGGAGTAGGCCACCTTTTTTTCCTTGTTAAGGAGCCAAACGTTGATTCTGTTCTTGCTTCAATGTGGGCCACAGCTCAGATAGCAGGCGCAATTGATTGAATCAAAGTTTTACTCACCAGTGATTTAGGCCCTGTTTTTAGCTGTTTATAGTGCATTTTAACTGGCTTACAGCTACTCAAAATTTTGAATAATCGAACAAGGATCATTAGCAAATCTTTGAGATAAGGCACTTTAGATAATGTAATATTGGGTTATTTTCTTTATATATGATTATAAGGTATTAAGGTTGAGCTTTGGAGCAGCTGGTAAGGCTACTCCTTGTGACTGGAAGGTCGCGGGTTCATTCATGGAAACAACCTCTTTGCAAAATGCAAGGGAAGGGATGTGTACAATCTTAATTTTTGCAAAGCCAAGGAAGCCTTGGTGCATGTACCCAATTTATCATTCCTAATTTGACCCGTTGTTATTGTCAGTTCAGCCAATTTATGGATTGGCATCTGGAGATCCTTTGCGGTTTAAGAGAGCCCTTGGACACAAAGATTTATTTTACATTGATGACAAGGATGTGGATTTTAAAGATGTAAGAAATGCTCTATGTGAAGTTCTCTAATTTAGAGTTGCATAATTCTCTCATGTACTTTAAGGTTATCTTTCTCTCCTGACATGAAGGTGATAGAAGCTCCATTACCAAAAGCACCACTGGATACTTCAGTTTTTTGTCACTGGCTGGCCATCGAAGGTGTACAACCTGCTATTCCAGAAAATGCTCCTGTTGAAGGTCTGTTTCTAAGACACCTATGTAATGGAGTGAAGAGCACTTGTAATTTGGTTCTAAATGTTTCAGAAATCCCCCTCCATTTTGGATTTTTTTTTCTTTCTGCCACAGGGTACAATATGTTGGGTTTTGGCATATTTGATCATTGGCCTTTTCTTCCTCGTTACAACTCATCATGCATTTCAAATGTAACTAGAACTCAATAATCAAATATTTGAAGTGTCGAAGCTTGAACCCTCCAAACTACAAACTAGAAGACAGTGTAATTGTAATTTGACATCGGCCTCAGTCCCTCACTAGTAATGACTATATGAATTGAGTTATGGTTATTAATAGCAAATATTTCTGATCTTGATCTTTTGTTTCCATTTAGATCTTCCTTTAAGGTTGTTTGTCAGATTCTAATAAGTGGCCCCTTCTTTCTTAATAGTATTTTATATATGCATTCACTATGGCAGAGCTGACATTTGAAGATGTTATGAGTCATGTGCAGTTATTGCTGCTCCTCCAGAGACTAAAAAGGCTGAGCAAAAGAACGATCTGCCTATTGATATTAGATTGCCTGTAAAACATGTCTTATCTAGAGAGCTTCAGGTACATATACCAACCTCATTTTAAAAAAATATTTTGTTTCACCATTCTGAAATTTGTTTTGTTGCTGCAGTTGTACTTCAACAAAATTACCGAGCTTGCAGTAAGTATGCCTGATACTGTTCTTTTCAAGGAAGCACTGATGAGTTTGGCCACAGACTCTGGACTCCATCCTCTGGTTCCTTACTTTACGTGCTTTATTGAAGATGAGGTACTTGCCGGGCTAATTTCTGTGAAGCAGAATGAAAAGATAGCACCTTATTGCACATATTCAAGTATTCATTCCACTTAACCCTCAAACAAAATTTTCAGGTTTCACGTGGTCTAAATGATTTTCAGCTGCTTTTTGCTTTAATGCGGCTTGTTTGGAGTCTTCTCCAGAACCCACACATACATGTTGAACCTTATGTAAGTCTCTAGTGAGCTTGTTACTTCCTTGATGTACACAAGCAGAATGGTCTTTGCTATCCTTTATTTGTTTTACTACTTTGATAACATGAATATATGTAGAAGATGGACAACCATATCAACATCATTTCCATTGCTTGACGATGAAATCACAAAAACATGCGTTGGCAGAAACGTACCTAGACTTGAACACAATGATTTAGATTAAACAACAATTCATTAATGCTTTGTTAGTTTATGTTTATTTAAAAAAACATATAGTGCCAATTAACCACAGGCCAATTAATCTATTGGATATTCTTTTTGCTCAAAGCATAATGAATTACTGGACTATGTTTTGTTGAGAGCAAGGAGAGTACAAGTTTTGCAAACCCCAGGTCAGAAGAACTTGAAAGATGCTTTATCTAAAATGAAGCTCAAGTTATGTGATCACAAACATGAATCACAATTAATGACCAAACAATGGGTAGCTCATAATCAAGGAGATGGATGTGTATGAGTAAGGAAAATTAAATACTAACCATCTATTAGATATTAATGTTGTTTGTCTCTGTTTAAGTTTTGGCTATATAGGCATCATGTAGATTTTCATCTAACATGTTTCATGGTCCTGCAGCTGCATCAATTGATGCCACCTGTTGTAACCTGTGTTGTTGCAAAAAGGTTAGGAAATCGAATTGCTGACAATCACTGGGAGCTTAGAGACTTCACCGCCAACCTTGTTGCCACAATATGTAAAAGGTGCAACCTTTAGCATTATTTTATTGTAAATGGACTCCTTGTATTTGATGTTCTAGCTTCTAGAGCACAATTACATCTTGCTATATTTAGAAGGATGTTCTCTGAATATCTACTGATGTTGTTAAGTTGATAAAACTGTTGAGGTTGATTCCAGGGTAATATTTTTTTAAATAACAAGAAATTGCACTATGTTTTGCAGGTTTGGGCATAATTATAGTAGTCTCCAGAAGCGTTTGACTAAAACATTGCTTAAATCATTTTTGGATCAGAAACGGACATTGACTCAACATTATGGTGCTATTCAAGGACTATCAGCTCTTGGACCTGATGTGGTAAGAAAATATTACACTGTTTACAAAAAAATTGGCTCTAAATTATTCTAGAAGAGTATTGGTCACTATATTTGGGCAGATTATTTTCTCTAGCTCTTTTCTGTTCTCTATCAGTACACTTGAGGCCATTACTTATTTGCTAACATAATGGAGCAGGAATATATGATCCTTATAACATAGTTTATCTGAACAAAGCCGTTCATATGCGTAGACAGACATCATTTGCCTCTCTTCTACTTCTTTCACTTAAAACAACCAATTATCTTTGTTATTTATGGTTGGGTTTGTTTCTAATAGCAAAAGATAAAAGATTGATGAGGATGGTAAGCTTAGAATAAGAGCAGGCTAGTCATAGGGAGATGGGAAAAGATGGTGCAGAAGTAACTTAGTCTATTACAATTTAAACATACCTACAGACTATATTGCAAGGATACTGTCGCAGAGACATCTGGGATCTGAAGATCTTGGAAATTTTGACCATTTTTTTTGGGGGGGGGGTGTTAGAAATTGGGGATTTGGAGATGATTCGATGACTGGATAATCTCGTTGGATTGTGAATGTTCACTTTCCAAATACAATAATTCGTCCCTTAAGCCTTGGGACGAATTTCGTATTGGGATCATTTAAGAGAAACTCTTATCTCAAAGGTTGTGACGTTGATGTCCTTATATACACCGAGATTCCCGGTTACATATTTACATGAGAGATCAACGGTTACGGACGGTTAAAACGGTTATAACTGTCGATGGATAAGATTTGGGAGCAGTTACACTTACAACTGCAGAATCGGAAGGAACGCCTAGAACTCTGTACCTAATATGGTCCAGAGTTCTGATTTGGGGAACAATTTCAAGAAGGTTTCCGACCTTCTGAAATTTGTCCCAATCAATCCTGAAATTAAAATTCCCTAAGTCTAACTCTTCTGTCCACCGCCAGAGGTGTTGCCCCTTGGTCCCCCGCCTTATGGCCATCTAAGGTGATAAAGACAACATTTGTGAGTGTGCACTCCGCACCTCCTAACTCACTTACGTTTGCCTTATCAGTTATCACCTAATCGATCTCACGTAAATCACAATCACATTAAAATTATTGATGACACTAAATTTTCAACATATTTGTGATTTTTCATCTGCCCTTCTTCGTTAAAAGATGGACCAGAATTACCCCACCGTATTGAGTTGTCAGATTTGTATCCTTCTGTAAGTGCACTCAGCAGTTCAAGGATATTGTTGAAGTCTCCCATGATGTGCAACTCTTCGCACCTTGGGGAATTACATCCCCAAGGGACCCTGCCATGGGGATCCTCAAGGGGTACAAGAACTCCTACTTTATAGATTTGGCCTTTGATGGAGGGATGAATGATGCAAGTCTTATAGCCAATACCATTTTGGCTGGAGTGTCCACTATATAATTTTCTATGTTTATTATCTTTAGCCTACCCTAAATTGTTTGTGATAGAAACCTTTGTTGATCTGAATTTGATAGTTATGGTCCTGTAGGTCTTCATGGAAGCTAGATAGTTTCAACCATTAATATGCTTTACATCAATGTTTCTTTCTCCTTTTATCTTCCCAAAGTTTAAATCACAAAGATATGACAGCATGTGTAAGGTTAGGTAAAGATCAGAGACATTTTCCTCTTTTATCTCAATAAACGTGCAAAATATACGCTAATTCTCTGCTCCATATAGAAAAAAATATAAAATACCATTGTCGTTGGTGGTTTTTTATTCAGTTTTGATATTTCTCAACTTCTATGCAGGTTCGTAGTCTTCTCCTGCCAAATCTCGAGATTTATTTAGGCTTTCTTGAAGAAATGCTTCTTGAGAATCAGAAAAAGGAAATGACAAGGCATGAAGCTTGGCGTGTTTATGGAGCACTGTTGGTCAGTTTATCTTACAAAACAATCTTGTTTATCTAGTCATTGTAGGGTACTAGGGTTAAAATGCATTTGTGCTTGTGACTTACATAAATTATTTTCCAGCGTGCTGCAGGTCGGTCTGTATATGATCTGCTTAAGCTCTTCCCCATTTTACCATCGCCACCTGCAAATTCTATTTGGAGGACGAATCTGAAAGTTATTGGCATAAGTGAAATAAGTAAGTTTCTCACGGGTTTTCATAGACATGGATTAAGAACACCATTAATTCAACAAGCATCCTTAACATTCATATGATAGCTGTTTTCTTCTTACCAGAGTATTAGGGTTATTTGACTTGTTTTCTTGCTCCCAAAAATCTCTTAAACAACTAAGAGGCAATGGGAACACATGACCACTCATTGCTCGACCATGCAATCAACTTGCTTCTATATTGGCTGAAAGATGTTAAGCAGAAATAGTGACGCTGTGATATAAATGGGCCAAGCTGATCATCTGTGAACGATTAACTTGTAACGGAAGAATAAGGAGAAAATAAGCAGATAATTAGCAAATAATGTAGATCTTTTGTATCATTATAAGCAAAGAAGACTGCAGAGGAATATTGTTATTGTGCAATCTATATAATTGAGTGTAAAATATTATTTTTTGAAGTATATATATATCCGTGATCAATGCAAGAATAAAGAAATGGACAAAGTGGTCAATGGGTCAAATAAGGAGAAAAAATCCATTGGTCTATAAATAGCAAAATGCCATGATAACACATATGTACGTATGTGCACACAAATGTATTTGGTGTTCTGTTAAATGTTTGATTCTTGGGATGTCTGTATTCTCATTACAATGAATCTTGCTCAAACTCCTGTACAACTGTGCCTAGCCACCAGCTGTCTGTCATAGATACTCAAAATCTAAAACTCCAGGTTAAGAAGCACGATACTTGAATGAAGCTGATGCAATGGAGGGTGTATGATGGAATTTTGTGAAATATTATGGGATAATTTATCATTTTGGAAAGGAATACATATAGGGGTTGTTTGGTTGTTTTTTATTAAGTCCTGTATGGGTAAGATGGCTGTGTGGAATAATCTGTTTTTATAGATTGAAAAGGTTTTTGTTGATAGGGTTTTCTTCATAGATGGAAGATGTGTGCGCGCTTTTTAATTGTGAAGGGCAGGTTTGGAAAAAAAATATGGCTTTTTGCATAAAGCTCCCCTTAGAAGCTTACTGAATAAGCCACTTTCTAGATCGTTAAGCCACTACAAGTCATTAAGCTCATTAAGCTGCTAACAAACAGACCCATAGTCTGATTAAAGCAAGTCAATATGTGGACTTGTTTCAACTTTTGGTACCATGGTTTTGTATTGTACCTTTCATCTCTAACCGAACATTTGACTGGAATTTTTGAAGTATATAATACTTATATACAGCAAATGAACGCACACACCCTCCTCATCTTTGGTGAGGCTTGAATCCTTGACCTCCAGGGAGGCTGGGGCTGTACTTACCACTAGGTCAAAGGCCCTTTGACCAGAATTTGTGGCTCTAATCATATGGTAATGCTCATTAATTTGTTATATTCTTTTAATCTATGAAGATAAACGCAAGGCAAATGCAGCAGAGGAGTTGGAACAACAGCCTTCCCCAAAGAAAATGATTACTACTGATGGGCCTTTGGTTTCAGAGTCTAATAACAAATCCATGGTACAAGGCGAAACTGGTGAATCTGAGGCAGATACGTCATTTAAGCAGCAAATTATCGATGATGGTGTTAAAGGAAGAAGGGATGGTAAGGGTAATAATAGCAATAGCAATAGCAATAGCAGTAGCAGTAGCAATAGGCATAATGCATCGAAGACACCTGCATATCTTAAGCAGGTTTGGAAAGATGATCTAAATTCAGGACAACTTGTTATTTCACTATTTGAACTGTTTGGTGAAGGCATTATGTCCTTCATTCCGGCACCTGAGATGTCTCTGTTTCTATAACCGTAAGTAACATCATTATTTGTTCATCAAGATTCTTGTTATTTCTTCCCAGAGTACGTAAAGAACCAAAATTTGGGAAAAGTCATGCAGGAATTGAAGCTGGGAAGACATGTTATTTGATCAGGAAAGAAACCCAGATACGATTAAGCATTCACCGTCTGAATCATTGAATCGTCAGGTTTTAGTCCATCATGGTCAGTGGATCGGTTGGTATTGAAGCTGGTGAATCAGTCTTTGAATGCTTTGTCGTCATCATCTAGAATCATCTTTTTTGGCTGTCCTCTATTTATATATCTATCAATCATGATGAAATGCTGCTGTTTAGGCCTGTGGTTTTGGTGGATGTGCTGCTTGGTTTCTTGTTGGAACAGTTGTGGATTTTGGTACTCTCACAAATGTCTTCTTTAGGAACAATCGGTACTCAAAAAAGTGTGCCATGGCCTAAGAAGCGTTCTTGTAGCGTTTGTGTAAGACGTGGTTTACGCCATGGTGTCTTGACTATAGCATTTGTGTAAGATGTGCCCGTTTTTTGCAATTTTTTATTAAAAAAATTATTTTTCTTGTAATTTTTAACTTTTACAAACTCATCTAATCACGAGTCAGTTTCGAGTTCATACATGTTACAGACTCATGGTTAAATTGTAGCTGTAAGATCATTTCAGATTCTATTTTAGATATTTGATCGTAAACTTTTCATATAATAATAGTTTACATATATATATATATGTGATTTTTCTTCTAATGTAATGTAATTTCTTTAATATTATTGTATTGTTTAATAGTAAAATAGACGCGTGATTATACGGATGATATAAAAACTCACCAAGGCACACCATCCATTCCGGAGTTGACTAAACGACTAAGGGACCATTTACCAAATGTTTACCTGAGTAAACATTTATCAAGTCACAATACCTTATTGAATGATTATGACAAGAATAAAGAATCGTACCCGGTAAGTGAAAGTGACGGTTTTTACTCGGTTAACGCTTACTGGGTAGATTTTTACATACAATGTCGTTTTGATGAACTAAAGTCTTATTTTAGGTAAGATAAGTGATAGTGTTGAATTTACGGTAAGCGTTATTGTTTGTAAACGGAAGGGTTCAAGCTCCGTAACTTAAAAGATGTAATGTATTTGCGTGTTTGACCAAATTCATCCCATCCATTTACCAATTAAGTAACCAATTAAGTAACCAATTAAACTAATCACCCACAGGCTCAAATGGGTTATTATAATCTGTTTCCAGGTGACAAGTTCATCAATTTCCTGCCGGATCCAAAGTTCCGGCCGTCGCAAGCTACTATCACCGGTGATCAATGACCATCAACGGAGATGATTTTGACCGGAAAAGTGAACTTAAGGCGTTTGACGACACGAAAGGTGGAGTCAAAGGCCTGGTAGACTCCGGAATCACCGAAGTACCTCGGATTTTCATTCAACCACCTGAAGTTTTCCCACAAGCCAATAACACTGATTTCGATCTACCGATTATAAACCTCCATGGATTCATCTCGGATCCAGTTCGAAGAAAGGAGATTGTGAAGGAAGTCGGTGAAGCATCCAGGACATGGGGGTTCTTCCAAGTGATCAACCATGGGATTCCGGTGAGTGTTATGAGAGAGATGAAGGATGGAGTACTTAGATTTTTCAATCAGGATCACGATCTGAAAAAAGAATGGTACGTTACGGATATCACTAAGAAATTCTTCTATAACAGCAACGTTAATCTTTCGTGCACACTACCTGTTCGATGGAGAGACTCGTTTCTTTGCAGGATGGCTCCTGATCCTCCAAATCTTCACGAATTGCCTCCACCATTCAGGTATGTTATAATCGTAATGTAAAGTTGAAGTCATCAACAACATGATTATGAGGTTTGATTTATAAATTGCAGAGATATACTGATCGAGTATTCGGATCAAGTGACCGAATTAGGGTTTTTGTTGTTCAAGTTGATTTCCGAGGCTCTTGGGCTTGATTCTAATTACCTCAAAGAGATTGGCTGTGCTGATGGACTCGCCACCATCTGCCATTATTATCCGGTATCTCCACAACCAGAACTAACGATCGGAGCTCAAAAGCATGCCGACAATGGCTTCCTAACCGTTCTCCTACAAGACCATATCGGCGGACTCCAGTTTCTTCACCGGAATCAATGGCTTAACGTTCCATTTGTTCCCGGAGCTCTTCTGGTCAATATCGGCGATCTTTTACAGGTAAGAGAACATGTTATATGTACATATTTTATGATTGGCTATCGATCCATAAGAATTGATGAATGAATCACAGCTGGTATCCAACGACGAGTTTGTGAGCAGAGAACACAGAGTGGTGTCGAATGGTGTTAGTCCACGGGTATCGGTGGCATGTTTCTTTACGACGGGGATGGTTTCCACCGGCAAGATTTTTGCACCGATCACGGAGCTGCTATCGGAAGAAAATCCGGCCAAGTACCGGGCCACCACGGTGGCGGAATTTGCTCAATACTCGCATTCTAAGGCCCTCGATAAATCTTGTATGTTGCATTTCAGGATCTAGACTAGAAGTTAATTTCATAAAGCCCTTTGGGAAATTTTAGTTTATTCGAGTAAATATGGTTATTCAAAGAGCTGCTGAAGTCTAAAGTCTTATTTCATTTCTGATTGATAAGAGGTGGTCTTGAAGTTTGTTTGCTTTTATAAACTGATAAATGTCTGAATTTGTTTAAATTGTCTATCTTACTTATTAGAAAATTATAGTGTTGAATTTATACCCTCATTTACCTTATTGTATGACATTCTCTGCCATCAAATTAAATTGAATGTTGGTAAACGTCTTAAATCCGACGAGCGTTTATTGGGTAAGAGTCTCTTCCTTTGATGCTGGGTAAGACTCCCGGCCATTGTCATGCTTTTTATCGGTTAAGATTCTCGATCATTCCGGTAAGTTAAGTGACATCTCACATCGGTAAGCAGTTACCCTGTAATTATGAAGTAAACGGCTCTAAGATAGAAAAAAGAAAGGAGATATGATACAAATCTCTAAATTAAGCGTCATGTTGCTAGGCGAAGCAGTAGAATATTGCACCCTAGATGGTTGGGATATGGATGGAATAGAATGAAATAGACCCACTTTGAGGTTCCATATGAAATGAAATACATGATTTCCAATCCTTTGGAGATGCTCGTAGGACAACATATCAAGGGTGCGGATCAAGACAGAGTCGGGGAGTCCGAGAGGTAGAGGGCAAGGGATGAGGTTAGTGATTTTACCGGAACCCTAAGTTAGACTAAGGGACCGTTTACCAAACGCTTACCCGAGTAAACGCTTACCAAGTCATATTACCTTATCGAATGAATATAATAAGGACCAAGAATCTTACCCTGTAATAGCGAGACAAAGACCAAGAGTCTTACCCGGTAAGTGAGGGAGACGAATCTTACCACGGTAAGCGCTTATCGGGTAAATTGTTGCATACGATATCGTTTTGGTGGACTAAAATCTTACCCGATAGGTAATTGACAGTGTTAAATTTTACTGATAAGCGCTTACTGGGTAAGTGTTTGGTAAATAGCCCCTAAGGATGTACCGTTTCCACACTTCAGCCATGTTTTTCCTTTTACTTGCAATCACGACTATATTCACACGCGAATATATATATATATATATCTTCTGATATCTTTACTACATATAAAACAATTGACTAATACTTTTAAAATCTTTTGAGTTTACAACTTAGTATTGCATTATAAATTTAAACCAGACACATTTACATTCGTATTTTAAAGGTGTTTCTTGCATTAAAACTATTTAGCATGCAATAAAGCTTTTATCGTTGTATGATTGCTATGTTATGTTATGCATGAAACTGGTGTCCATATGCATGTGGGTCTACATAGCAGGACACTTGTAATTTTGGCAAGGTGTATCCGAGGACGAGATGTGTCCACCAAGACTGATATATGTTGGACGATCCAATCTAAATCATGTCATAAGCATATGTTTGATACCGACATTTTATAGGTTCTGCACGTTGCTAAAAAATGGATCCAAAGAATCATAATAAAAATCTTTATCAAATGTTGTTCGTTATCTAAAATAAAATTCGACATGAAATATATTGTAAACTACTTTTCTGTTTCATACATTAAAACATAACATAGTAAATCAGTATAAACATATTTGATTAGCGAACGTTCTGTAGCACATGTTAATTCACACACACATGTTTAAACGAAAAGCTGCTTAACTTACAAGAAGTGTGAGAATGATCAAATCATATGTGATTTACAACACGTCCAGAAGGATCCTTTGACCTGCCATTGCAAGGGCTACTTGGGAGTTTTTTTTTTTATTAACCTGGATATCCAATCCGCTATGCGAGCCGACTAATCCTAGGACGACCGCCTGCTTTGCAGATTGCAGGAAGTCACCGCATTTGAACCTCCGTGGCCACAAGGGGATTTTTATTCCTACTTGGATTTGAACCTGATAACTCCTGGTACTTTTGACCTTTGGATCCAAGCTCAAATCAATCAGGCACCACCCTTGTGGTTATACTCGGGAGTTTTCACGTTTGGTCGCGTTGAACCAGCTGTCTAATTAATGTTTTAGGATTTTGACGTTGTTTATACTTTCAAGTGTTTAGTAAACGACCCCTTACAGTTGCCCAAGTCCTTGAATGTTATTTTCGTTAAGTTTATATGTAAGATATTTTTTTACAGTATGATTGAATCCCTCGAAGAGGGTTTGAGAAGAATTTTCATTATATAACCAAGAAATACAGAGGATATTAGTCTACAAGGAAATAATCACAACAATACGTAAATATACATAATATCTGAAACTTCACAAAATAAATTATTTATATAATATTTATTATCAGATATATTGTGATATCAGTGTCGTAAGATAAGTTTGATGTCATAATCCTACATGAAGTAGGGGGTGTGACAAAAACCTAACCACATTTCGTGGTTGGCCTTTTTTCTATTCGGTTATGATTCAACAGTTTTTTTTAGCACGTCTATATGAGACCGAATTTCAGATTTGGTTAATTTTCGTCTCATTAGAGAAGAAAAAAGGTACTATGCGATCAATCAACATATTTATTAACTTTCATTAAATAGACACTAAGAGGTCGTTTACCAAACACTTACCTGGTAAGCGTTTACCGCTAAAATTTAACATTATCATTTACTCATCGGGTAAGATTTTAGTTCATTAAAACGGTATCGTATGCAACAATTTACTCGGTAAGCGCTTACCGTGGTAAGAGTCATCACTCTCACTTGCCGGGTAAGACTCTTGGTCCTTGTCTCGCTCTTACCGGTAAGATTCTTGGTTCTTATCATATTCATCACACAAGGTAATGTGACCTGGTATTCATTTATCACTTACCTACTCATGTTCTTAGCTCAATCGAAAGTTGATATTGTTGTCTGTAGGAAAATACGTCGGTTATATCAACATGCTTTCAATCAGTTCAAATGTCAAGACAATCCGGATGTTGGTACTTCATTTGACCACAGTGTTTCTTGTCGTTCTCTTCAAAATCATTTTCCCGATTAAAATAACAAACGGTGTCGAATTATAGTACCTACATAAAAAAAGACGTTTGCTAACCTACCATGTTAAAAGAAATGAATCCACCCAAGAGTTGTCCCCCCTGCTTTTGAACGCTAGTTGTCTTCTTACTGGTTTTTATAGAATCGAAATATTTTTCTACTAACAGTATTTACATTTTTACTGAAATTAATTATCATACTGGTTTAAAACATAAAAATGGTGTTACAGTATGAGAGAATGAGCCAATTGCAAGAAGTTTACAATGATTACTTGCGTATCTGTCAATTATGTGTGTCATCATCCATTTGTTGAATATCCACTCACATCAGTTCCTTTTTTTCTTTGTTTTTACTGATAATATATAGGACAACGTATTTTGGAGGTATATGATACCCAAGTCACAGGACTGTGGATGCCGAAAAGGCCTCTCACGAAAAGTAACAACCAATTAGAATGCCTTATAATACATATTCAGTAAAAAAGTGGAATCTAAGACGCATACCAAGACCTACAGTAATTTGTATTGATTATACAACTAGTTGTGTATCCGCGCAAAGCGGCGGGAGCCGTGAATTTTAAAGATTTTGAAGTTTCACAGGTTTTATTAAAGAAGATTTAACAATGATATAAGTTACATTTGGTCTTTACATATTAATACAATTTGAATATATAAGAGTTATGGTTCAAATTGCAATCTATCGATGAAAAAAATTGTATGACAGTTTAAAATCCAATATATTTAAAATCCAACATATTTAAACGACTTCACAATTGTGTTTAATTTACACCAAAAACAAAGAATCAAGAGATCGAGAGTGAGACCGAGAGTTCTAGAGCAATTAAATGAGAGATGAATAGAAGAACTTTTAATAACTCATGGTGAATATCAGTTTCAATCTCATATTGGGGGATGTAGAGAAGACATAGAGGTATGAGAGGGTGAAGACATACGTGAAAGGTGTGAAAAATATCTTAAGAACATGAAAATAAAAGGTAATAATGTGCATTAGTAACTCGTACTATATGTTATTTTAATTGTAGATTAAGAGATTTTCATACCGAATGCATAAAGTAGTAGTACTTAATGCATTATGAGTTGTTTTTAAGACTTTGTGCATAAACGCATAGTACTTTGTATATTGAAAATTATTTTTAAAACTTTTGATAAATCTGATTTATAAAGTAATATAAATATACTTGTCTTTTTAATTACTCCCCCAATGCAAAACTCCTTAGAACAACTTTTTCTTTGAAAAAACAAAATATGAAATACTAAAAAACAAGATTTTAAGATTAAGTTTTGCAAAATGACCAAAATGCCCAATGCTCGTATTTTCCTTCACACGTTTTTTTGTTACAAAAAGATATTTCATTTTCTGGGATGTCATATAAATACTGTACTATTTCTCGATTTTCCGACCTCTAACCGTCTCACAGCTTTTTATTTATACCATTATACAGCAAGTAATTCACGATTCACGAAACGAAAAAGACCTCACAAACCAGACATTAATGTTATGGTAACGTATACGATATGTTGTACAGTAATAAACATGACATCGGTACACATAAAAAGCCGAAAAAAGAAAAAGGGAAAGGGACCATAAAAAGTGGTCAAATGAATGGATAAATTGAAGTTAAAAGTGAAAGTATCCAAACATCCAAATCCAAGGCTATTGTCATATACCCATCTCAATTGGCACTTGCTTTTGTGCCATGGTCAAGTCCATCATGGCACATACTTCTAAAACTACACCAATTTTGTTGTTTCTTTAGGGTATATTTTTTGTTTACAACGCGGGTAAGTGCTTATCAAGTCATATTACCTTACCGAATCAATATGGCAAGGACAAAGAATCTTACCCTGTAAGAGCGGAGGCAAAGACTGAGAGTCTTACCCGATAAGTGACGACGACGACTCTTACTACAGTTAGCACTTATCGGGTTAATTGTTACATACGATACAATTTTGGTGGATTAAAATCTTATCCCGTAAGTAATTGGTAGTTCTAAATTTTGCTGATAAGCACTTACCCATGGAAGTGTTTGTAAACGGCCCCTTAAATAAAAATAGGGAGACTCAAGTCGGATTCCTAAAGGGATCAATAACATAGGAGGCCTTCAGGTACTTTTAATCTTTGGAGTCAAACTCAAACCAATCAGACATCATCCTTGTGGTTATCTATATTTTAGGTTTGATGGAGGAAAAAAAAACAGAGTGTTTTGAATTAAATCCAACAAGCACCGATTTAATAGGAAAGAGGGGTTTGAGTTGAGGCTAGGGTTTGCTCATCAACAACAATTGATTTTGACACGACTTTACAAAAAGATGATTACATTTTTGACTTTGAGGTTTCCTAATTAACAACCCCAAATTTCAAGATTAAACAAACATAAGACCCCAAAATGTGATTAGGAAATCGCCGTAAATTCCAAAAAGGAAATATCTTCCTCAATTCCGTCTGCCTTTTAGTCCGTGCTACCCAAGCCCATCTCTGAAAACCTTACCAAGTTAATATAATATAATATTCATCAGTGTTTCCGCATACCCACTTCAAATCGGACTTATATTCATCTGGGTTTTCATTGATTTTGATCGAGGGATTCATAAATTTCATCGAAAGCTTTTTTTCGTTTGAGGGAGGGATCATCACCATCATCATCATCATCATCATCATCAAGAATGAGGAAGAGGGAGAGAGAAAACCCATGTGGGATTTGTGGGCACTACCACAAATACGAAGAGGGTGAAGTTTGTGGGATTTGTGGTCATCGTATGCCGGTGGGAGTTGAAAAAACTTTGATTCAAGTTAGCGCTTTTCCATCGGAAATCTTGCAGGGGTTTCTGTATCTTGGTAGCTATGACAACGCTTCTCGTTCAGAACTGCTCAAAACACTTGGGATTTCTCGAGTTCTTAATGTGCGTTTCACTTTATCATTTCTATTTCTGTTTCATTCGTATGGTCGCGCTTTGAATCATGTTCTTGTTGATTGTTGAGTTTTTAGATGAATTTAATGTGGGATTGTTTGTTCTCGATGATGGGTTCTTGCCCAAAACTCTCTGGATCAATTGGGGATACACCCTCCTCTGTTTATTGGTTTTACATCTTGAATCTTGATCTTCAACAAGTTCTTCTTGCACTTTTTTGAATCTAACTGTATTTTTGGCCCTCAATCTCATGGATGTAACTTGTAATGCCTTTCTGGAGACCCATGATTGAAGCGTTCATCCAAAGGAATGACAATGGCCACAATCTTTAGTACTCTTAATTTTGATTATAACTCTATACCTAATCTAAGTTGATTCATGATTCTAGAAGATGTATCCATCAATCAAGTTGGTAGTTTGGGGATTTAGTTTTAGATTTCAAGTCTACATGTTGGTCATTGCTGTAAAGATTTGAGCTAAGAGTTCTAATTCATTTGCTTTAAGTTATTGGCATTAATTAAATTCAGGTCTGGTTAATGTGAGCACAATCTTGCCAAAAGTTTGCCAAAAAGATCTCCCTTTTTTGTGTAAGTTCTATATTTTGCTAATATCTTATTGATGCTATGTCTGGACCCTCATTCAGTGTTCCAATTGAAAGTATGCAAAGTTTAATAAAATGAAAACTGGGGGCAACTACACAAAATAGCTTTTTTTGGTGCATCTCTTTAGCTTCTCTACACAAAGTATGAGTATTTAATTTGAAGTCATTGTGATAGAATCTTCTTTGTTAGAAAAGAAGAGTAGAATTTTGATGTAGGAAGGCCCTTACAATCTAAGACACTTAGGGCCTGTTTGTTATAGCTTAATGAGCTTAATGGGACGTGGAACTTATTCGATCAGTTATACACGACTGTTTGGTAGTGACTTAATGATATAAAAAGTGGCTTATTCGGTAAGCTTCTAGGGGGAGAGCTCTATAGCTTTGGAACATTATAGACAATCTTTAAAGTTGTCCAATCAACTAAACCTTGAGAATGATGTTTAAATAAAAATTGGTGCTTTTTATGAACAACCCACTTTTATATCCTGACATTGATATCCTTCTTTTTGATTAAAGATCTTCCTTACTACTTGATGTGCTTAATTTTGTTTTCTTTCATATGTTAATTTCCAAATTATTCATGATTGTATGATGAAAACACTCCATCTTTTGGTGTATTAACTTGAAATTGTTGATCAATTTTGAGGTGAAACCTTTATTGCTGATTTGCAATCTTATCTGTTAACGGCCCGCAATAATCATGTGGTGATTTTATCCGTATGCAGACAGTACCAGCCTGTCAGAATCTATACAAAAACTCGTTTACTTATCATTGCCTCCCAGATAGCCCAACTCTAGCGTTTAATGATGCAGTTGAGTTTCTCGGTATGTATATTAGAATGCTACAAGTTTATGTTTATTAATTTGTTTTATTATGATTGAGACTTTATTGTCTTGCACGTAAGCACGGCATGCAACAGTAAATTGCACAGACAGAAACGTAGAAATTTTATTCAGTATGTATATATATATATATATATATATATATATATGATATACGAAGTTAACAAGCAATATAAATATTTATTTGATGAGACAGATACATAATTTTCATGGATTTGCATAGTCTTCTGCCAGTACGTATATGCTGATAAATTCCAATTCAGATTTGAATAGGGTACAATAACGGGCTTCTTCGTACTTTTAACAATTTCTCAACGGTTTTGCCTCTCCTGCATCTTGTCTTTCTACTGGATTTTAATGTAGGTGTATGATGTTTTTCTAAATCCGTGGTTAAAGATGGGTCGAGAAAAGGCTATTTAAGGAAGTTTGTGGATTTTAGAATATATATTGCATATGTAAGTAGTTTCATATCTTGGGTTCCATCATATTTGTAAGGCTAAACAAGATACAGGGGGGTTTGCACACCTAAATATATAAATTACGTAAAACCTTGTTAACATTTAGAATGATATCAAAAAGGTGCTACTTGTTACGCAAACCAACCAAATGGTTTTTTTTGGGGGGTGTACACAAACCTGACCTCTACCCAAGGAGTAGAGCGGTTGTTTCCATGAAGACCCCCGACTTGTGAAAAGTGTACAGATCAAAGAGAGTTTTCCTAAGAAAAACAAGGAAATAGAAAAAGGAGTGGATTTGAAAAAGAACTTGAAACAAGAAATTGAGTTATAAGCAAACAACAACATACATAGTCTGCTACCCTATCCTATCAGATGTCATGTCTTTGGAAATGCTTAAAAATGTCATGTCTAACCTCAATTGCTCATCCCATTTCCTTCTTGGTCTACCCTTTTTCTCACCCCTTGATCGTCACAATTTTTATCCTCCTCACCTAAGCCGCCATTTTGTCTCCTATGAATGTGACCAAACTATCGCATTCTTCCCCCCCCCCCCTCCTCAACTTATCCGTGATGCGTGCAACAACTACTAGCACCGCCCGACCGTATGCTCTCAAACAAGGTCCATCTAAGCGTGTCATTTTTGCAATTTTCTACTTCCTCTCTTAAGCCTTCTTTGTCGCCCAATACTCCAAAGGAAACCTTATTAACCATGATCGATGTCTTTTTCTTATCTTTCAGTGTGTAAAATTGTTATTAATTATTATGCTTGTCTTAAGTGTTAACTTTTATTACATTATAGCAGAAATAGCCTCTCTATTCCTTGGGGTAGAGGTAAGGTCATCCTACCCTCCCACCCTATCCCTTGTGAGATTTAATGTGGTTCGTTTGGTTTGGTTTGGTTTGGTTTGGTTTATACTTTTAACATATATTATGCTTAAATTTTATGTATTTATATGTACTTTAGGGGTTTATGAACAGGAAGCCGTTGCATGGCTCTTTTTCGGGTTGACCTCTAAGAACTATAATCATAGACACAAAATAATAACCGCAGGGTTGCAAAAAGTGAACATTATGTTTATATGGTTCCACATTTATATTATTTTTATCGAATCTTGAATGGTACAACGATATAGACTAGGAATAAGATAAAAGCCAAATTCAGACAAAAATGGATAAGACAGGATGGCTGTCTTAACCACCTCCCGCCATAACGACTATGATCTTGGACTTTAGTAATGATAATATGGTTCTTCACTATGATTTGATGCACTTGTTGGGAGCGTTATAAATTTGGTATGGAACTTGTTTTACAGAGCAATGTGAAAAGGATAAAGCTCGAGTTCTTGTTCACTGCATGTCAGGAAAAAACAGGTGAACTCTTGCTGCAAATTGAACTTGTTTCGGTGCTTTTTACAATTTAAAGATCGTACAAAAATGATGGATCAAGATGTAATTTAGTTGCCCCTCGACTACGTGTCTAAGCAACCAAATAGACGCCCTTTTTCTTTCTTTTTTGGGATTTTTGGTAGTACGTTGGTTGCTTAGAAACAAAGTGCGTTGGAATGCTGATTGCTTAAAAGAAAATTAGGATTTAGTTCGATGGAACTGCTTTTAGATGTTATGGTGTTCGAGTGAAATGTGATGAAATCAATTGTATTATAATCCATGAAAACCATCTTGGTACGTATTTTTTGGCAGATCGCCGGCTGTTGTTATGGCATACTTGATGAAAAGCAGAAGATGGACTCTTGATCAGAGTTACCAATGGGTGAAAGAATACAGACCGTCTGTCGACTTAAATCCAGGTATATATTTACCCCAAATCAAATCAACAAGATCGATAAATGTTCATTATTCATGTAAAGTAGAATCAATAGGAGATGAAACGACATTGTGGAATCTCCACCCATTGCCGCTAGGACATGGTGGTTGTTTTATGATAAATGTAGCTCGTTTCTGATCATGAATCTTTATGTAGCTGTCTTGCAGCAACTACAAGAGTATGCACAGAACCTTCAGGTGGCTGTGGAGGCCAGCGGTGTTGCTCTGCCGCCGGTCCCGGTTGGTGGAGCCGCCCCCTTCAGCTTTGGCTTTACAAACCCAACCAGTGTTCCTCCGCCCTTCCCGGCTTTCAACACCCCTGCAACCGCCTCCATTTTCACTCGTGCAGACATCCCTCCGCCAAATGAGTTCACTTTTGGAGCTGCTGTTCAGACTCAGAACACGCCGCAAAATCTCGTCTCGTCTGGGACAAGTTCTGTGAATCCGAATGCTACGGATGTATCCATGGATGGATCTTGAATGAGTTGAAATCTTTGTTGTTTTTTCTGTGTTTCTTGGATTTGGGTTATTTATGCAAATCTTTTAAGAAAGCCAAGAATCATATGTTGAGTTTGATGATGACCCAAGGTGTCAGCTGAATGTAAATGGTGGATGAAAAGCTTTTGGCTTGTTAGACCTCACAGCCTTAGATGGCTAACATACAATTTATTAGGGGTTTACCCTGCTTTTAAGCCTACATTTCATTTTTGCATTCTTTCTTTGCTATAATTTTTACTGTTCTAAAATAATTTATATACAGCAAATGCAACAAATAAATCCACACATCCTCCTCACTACTAGTGAGGTCTGAACCTCTGACCTCCTAGGAGGCAAAAGGCTCAGATACCGTTAGGACAAAGACCATTTGGTAAAAAAAAGACAGATGTTTGATGAGCTCACACAAATTTAAGTGATGCAAGCTCGAGCTTATGCAAAAGGTTGCTTTGACTGGTCAACTCCAGCCCAAAGAAGCGATCTAACCCAAGCTCGCACAAATGTAAGCGAGCTTGGACACTAGTTCGAGGTTGCGCTCAAAGTCAGGTTGACCCAAGTTTGACCAAACATAACTCGTTCGATATGAGATTCGATTACACGTTTCTTGAAAAGATGTTACAAAATGGAAAATATGTTGTGGTTATGTGCGGTTTGACAAATACTTGAATGTCGATCAGTAGCGACACGCCGAGATACCTCAATTGATACAAGGGGTCAAGACACGTTACAAAAGTATACTTGATTGGTGTAACATCTCGCACAAGAAAATCCCCAAATTACCAATTATATAAAATCTCCAATAAAATATAATTTATTGATTGTTAGGACCAAAAATTGATCCTAATTATTCTAAAAGTTTTATCAAAACAATTGGGGCCAAAGATGGAAAATCTGAAGATGCTGCTGAAACGACTAAGTCTGGAGGAAGACCAGAGGCGATGAATTGGTCCAGAGGCAGGCGATGGACCAGAGGCTGCTGAAATGACTAAGTCTGGAAGAAGTCCAGAGGCGATGAATTGGTCCAGAGGCAGGCGATGGACCAGAGGCTGCTGAAATGACTAAGTCTGGAAGAAGACCAGAGACGATGAATTGGTCCAGAGGCAGGGGATGGACCAGNCGATGAATTGGTCCAGAGGCAGGGGATGGACCAGAGGCTGCTGAAATGACTAAGTCTGGAAGAAGACCAAAGGCGATGAATTGGTCCAGAGACAATGAAAATGGACCAGAGGCGATGAATTGGTCCAGAGGCGATGAATTGGTCCGGAGGCGATGAAAATGGACCAGAGGCGATGAATTGGTCCAGAGGCGATGAAAATGGACCAGAGGCGATAAATTGGTCCAGAGGCGATGAAAATGGACCAGAGGCGATGAATTGATCCAGAGGCGATGAAAATAGACCAACCCTTTGAAACACACAGATCTGGGCATAACATTAATTAACCCCAAATTATGGGATATTAATTTTCTAGAAAAATATCGAAATATTCGTTCTATTTTAGTGATAAAACCACCCGAAACATAATTCCAAAACGGATATAACGGATTTTTACTTACAACCCGAATTAAGTAGCAAAAGAATACGGGACATATTTATAACCGGAACAAGACTATATATAAGCTACACTTACTACAACTATGAGATACGGTAATAAGCTACTATTTACCAAAAGCAAGATCGAAATCTTCAAGTTCCTCGATAAATCTTCGAGTCAGACAACGGGTTCTTTCTTTTTATCCGTCTTCTTTCATGAGAGAGGTTGCCACTTAAATGGTAAGCCAACACTTAGTGAGTTAAATAATTAAGTATTACATATCAATATCGCAAATGTTTATAAACATACATAATAAACTCTTATCAATAAAAGAGTTCAAGACATCATCCAGATGCAAACCGAGACTTACAAGAAACCGGGTGAACAATTACGTACCGGATGCTAAGATCATAGGATTCCATATTCAAATCACCATAGTATACCATACCATTAATGCTCAATACAACAAGGAGACAGGATCAACAACCAAATATATTCAGCAACGTTAGAATACCAATAAATATCAAGAACCAAATGATCGAATCGGTATACATAACGAAGACAATGCATCACCCCGTCCTTCACCTCCCGGGCTCATGCCAAAGTCCAAGACAGAATCATACATTACGGGAAACCTCGCACTGCCTGCCTTCCTCTACCGGGTATGTGCCAAGGTTCCCTACTCATTACTCTTCCTCCTTTTCGAGCAATGAGTATTCACAATCGCAGAAAGTCTCACCCGTCCAACCCGGGATCTTGACTTCACCATAAACTTCCGGCGTGCCACACGAAGTAGTACCCGTACTATGGCGTACAATTCAAGGAACAAAACAACGAGTCCGGATTCGGAAAGCAAACCGATGTACCGAGATAGTAATATGGAATCGACTCAAGAGACGGAATCAAGAACAAATCAAGATCGTGTGACTCCATTCAACACCAAAAACATTCATATGAAAATATATATGTTCAAATCAATATGTAACAATTAACTATATAACTCACCAGGCAAACCTTATATACCGAAAAGCTCCGAATTGAGCTCACAAAGCAAGTCCAATCTACCACACTTAGATTGCTTCCAAAGTATCAAAATATGTTTTAATTACCTCCTGGAGTAAATGTACAAAATCTCATAAGCAATCAATATAAGAAACTCATGATATACACATACCCTATTTGAACATTTTACTTAGATTTCTATGTATAGCTGCTGCATGCAGAACTGTTTTGCCCATTTTAAACTCGAATTCATGCCTTGATCATAAAATAAGAAATAAACTAGACTCAATTATCTAACTAAGAAAATTGGCCTCACCACATTTGGATTTTTTTACGATTTTATATAGTTTTTCAAAGTCTGCACACTTTTAATGCATTCTTAAATCGAAATTCTCATTTTTATACATTTTTTTCAAACCATTTCGATTCCAAACTATTCCAACTTCTGAATTTCAACTTAATATAACCTATTTGATATAAATAACCAAAATCCAACCTTTGTTTTATCATTCATATTCTCTCCCAAATCATTGACTTGATCAAGTCAAAGTTCATATGATGAACTTGCTTAAATCTTGATAATCTTTTGAATCTAATGATCATTTCAAGCCAAAAACACTAAAATGCACTCATTTTATACACTTAAGATCAAACCCATATGAAACCATAACTCTATCTCAACATGCAATCCATATAACAAGAATGTCAACCAAGAACAAGTGYAAAGAATGGATTATACCTTACTTGATGATCAAATCCTTCAAAGATCTTATAGTTCTTCTTTGATTTGAGTTGAATCAAGTCTATGTGTGTGAAAATCGCACCTCTAGTGTGTGTGTGTGAGTTCTGGACTTAAATGACAAGAAAAATGAGCCAAAAATCCAATTTATAATGCTAAAACTCAAGTTGGGCCGGGCTGGCCCGGCTAGGTACCCATTTTGACCATCAACACTTAAATTATTCATAACTTTTCGCTCGGACCTCCGTTTTCTATGAGGTTTTCGCCTACACGTTCATAAAGAGATAATCTATAACATCCAACAAAAAATATTCCAGAAAAGATCTCCAAAAAAAAATCCGTTTTACGTATCTATTTGACGTGATATTTTCCAAATCCTCTAATATATTCTTAAGAAATATAATTCTAAAACTTTAAACCCAAACTCCTACTAAATCATAGGTTCTCTTTAACCCAATAATTAAATATACTTAACAAATAATTTGGGCATATTAGAAATTGGATGTTACAATTGATACATGGTTAGCAAGTTAATCCCCCCAACTCAACCATGTTAGTTACGTTACGACCCGTTCCTAACATTTTATGGGCCGAAAGCGTATGTAAGAAAAAGGCCCGCTCTAAGTACCAAAAATATCTTCAATCAATGGTTTTTACTAATAAAAGCATAATTGAAAACGACAAAAAGGCTAATAATTCATATTAAACAATTTCTTCGAGTATATGTAGACATAAAAATCAATGAAAATCATAGTTCCTAATTCAGTATTATCTACATATCTTAGATATCATATGACATCATTTTAGTCACGTCATTGACTGTTCGCAGTAGAGGCGTAGTCAGAAAGTTTTTCAAGTGGTGACACAATTTGACTATAAAAAATATGTAATTTTCTTTTCACAATCTTAATATAAATCTGTTGGTTGATTTCTTGTCCTTACATAATAAAAAACCCATGTTCGAGTCCGCTCTACATATATTTTAGAAACACAAGAGATATAAAAAAAAATACCGATATCAGACAGATTTAAGCAATATTTTAATTTTTCTTACCAATAAGAAACATTTAAGTAAAAAGACCTTAAAAAGAAATATATGTAGAGCCTAGTGGTAAAAAGACCAATAAAAAGACCTTCCAGCCTAGTGGTAAAGGCTTGGGCATGACATAGTCATGAACCCGAGTTCGAGCCCTGGGAGGGGAGTGTTGGCGGCATTTAAGTGGGGCCATGTTTAGCCTCCAAATTTGCCGGGGATTAGTCAGGCTTTGGCCCGGACACCCTTACCAAAAAAAAAAAAAATTTAAGTTAAATGTTTAGCATAAATCAGTAATATTTTATTAAATATATTGAATATTTTAATAATATAATTAATGTTAAAATTTCTATAACTGAATAATATTTAAAGTTGGACTTAATTTTACTCTAATTTTTTTAATATTTAAATACTCTATTTCACAAAAAAAAAAAATTATAACAAATATATTGAAATGCTATAACCATAAAAACAACGTTGTCGTAACCATCACCACCTTATGAAAACGAACGATTACTCGTGAAAAAGGTGCTGGGAGGGTGTGGTAAAGGAGGCCACACGATACATCCAATTTATAATAAAAAATAAATAAAATATTATCTATACTATATTATAAAGCATTTGGCTAAAACTTTTAAAAACTCTTAAAACTCTTAAAAACTCTTAAAACTCTTAAAAACTCTTAAACTCGTTTATTCCTAAACGATTTCATCCTTATCCGATTTCATCCCATATTTGAATTCGTGTAAC